CAGCAGCTAAATATAGCTGCCGTTGACTGTTCGTGCGTGCTTTGGACCGGTACCAGTCGCCCGCGGCCTCTGCCTGGCCAAAATTGTTGCTTCCGGAAGCCTCCGAACTTTCTTGGGATGCTGCTGCAAAAATTGGACTTGGGACTCGCTTCCTCTTCTGGTACCCACAGACTTCTACCGGACTTGTGACGTTTCGGTACCGAGGCTTAATGACCTGCGGTGCTTTGGCCCTACGGACCCTAGACCTATCCTACCGGGACAGCCTGGGACCAGGACCATCATGGACTGGTCCCAACTGGGACCGGGACAATTTGGGACCCTGGAACTGGGACTCGAGGTGTCCGCAGCTCATGAATTTATTTTATAATGAGCATCACGATAAGAATTAACTTCAATTGACAATTAAGTCATTATGATGATTAATTTATTAATTTATGAATTCATTAATCTTATGATGACAATCGTGAATGAATGTGTTTTCATTCTTGTTGTTGTTGGCATAATGGTGATTATTTCGCGTATTTGTTTTGTTTGTTTGTTTGTTTGTTTTTCTTTTTTTTTTAACGTTGTCATTGTTGTTGCATTGTGATGATTATTCTTTTTATCAATCATTCTGATTATAATAATTATTATGATAATAATAAATTAATAATTATGATTATTATAATATAATGGTCATTATAGTTGCAAGGAAAATGAGCAATAGCGAGATGACAATAATCAGATTGCACAATCACATTGAAGGCCAGATAGTATCACAGTGTCCAGAAAGCAGGAATGCACCAATATAACACCAATGAAGATTCGTAACACWSMAAAYCAATGTCAATGAGRGCTTGCTCTCGCCACCACCAACATGAGTGTCCAGGCCCTATCTCCCTACTTGGCGCTCGGCGCCCAGCCTACTTCCTACACAGCTACTCTCTGCCTACTTATTGACAATGCAACTGTTTACGTCAGCAGCCTCCGAAGTACTTGAAGATGTCGCCCATGCAGACCATCGCCAATACCAGGTATGTGCCCTCACATCATCATCATCATCATCCTTCTCTCTCTCCCCTATCTTACTTCCACGTCTTCACTCTGTACACCCGAAGACCACCCCTGCGCCTCACTGTAGTCCAAGCCCAACCAGCTATGGAGGCTGGGCTATGGCGCTGCCCTCAGCAGCGCCCTGCTCCCTACACAACCGCTCGCGCTAGCACCTTGCCTCTCAGCGCCAGCAGCAGCCCACGAGCGTCTGCTCCAGCAGCGCTGCCGCTAGCATGCGAGTGCCTGAAATGAGGCTGCCGGTGGCGAGCTCTTTCCTATATGGAAAGAGCCTCCTGCCTTCGCAGCCTGGCTGGACTAGCCTGGGCCCAGAAGCTTCCGGTAGGCCCCAGGATGCTGCGCTTGTGTTGTGCAGCTACTGGGCCTCTTTCGGTTGGGCCTCACAACTGTGAGTGTATGAGGCTGCGATTCTCGCCCAGGGCCCGCATTCTTGGAAAGGCCCAGAAGGCCGTGGAATGTCTTTGTTGCTCGGCCTGTATTTTTGGCGCGTCGCAACTGTCTGGACCCCCAAATACGAAATTGACAGTCGAGGGTCTCTCGTGATTTGTTAGGCCCGCCTTCACTTAGGGCGGGCACGTATGCAACAGGGGGCCCTTAGCCCTGCTGAAGACCCAGATCCTCGCATAGTATTGTTGTCCTCTTCTCCCTCTCTGCCTACGGTTTATCGGGCAGCTCTGTTTGACGATATATATGCTTTAATTTAATGATATATAATATATATGTTTTAGTTTTTATCTTTAGATTTGCAATCAGACTCGTTTTCTTTTCCACTCTGCATAGATGCAAACGGATGGTGATTCACACTGGCGCACAGCACCCACTCAGCTCAGAGATATAGCAATCGAGAACACAGTTCAGGTGTAAACTCGCTTCAACTAGCTATGGCGCATCAGCGCCTTCACAACCCAACTTCGTCACCGCGTTCAACACCACTGTTCGCCCGCACTCAACTCTGGATCTCCCTGAATACACCCACACAAACTCACTCGATATCCCACACACACACACACACAGCTACCTCTACCCTCGTCGGCTATGGCCGCTGGCCTCTACCGCTATGGCTACAATCTCGCTCTTCAGCCCACTTCGTCTTCGGGCAACCTGCAGACCACCTTCGCACAAGTCGCTGTAGCAGCGCTTCCTCATGGCCTACGCAGCGAATGGATGAATGGCTGGGCGCTGCCTCTTGATTTATACTTCTGTAACTCGTTGGTCTGCCCCTTTCCCAGGCTCTTGGTGCACATAGTCCCACACGGTACTTGCTTGACTGGACTCTGACTGACTGGGACAGGTTCCGCTGACTGCATGGGTTTGCACTGCCAACTCAATGCAGTCGCACTGCCAACGTAACGCAGTTAGGCTCACCACTTGCCCACTTGCCTCTGGCTAAACGTGAGGCAACTTCGAAAGGCCACTTCCGGACCTTCCGGAAGTCTGTGGACTTGGCCTTTCGACTACTGTAGCAGCTACGACCTTTACCTTTCAGGACTGTAGCAGCTACGACCTTGACCTTTCAGGACACCTACAGCTAAGACCTCGACAGAACTATGACCCCTATTCGACAGAGCTCCAGATCGAACCCCTACAACTATACAGTCCAACGACAGGCAACAACCACTACCAAAACACAGGTTACGGGTTCAAACACTCGGGGGTCGACTTGATACTGTACATGGGCAAAGTGAGGTCTGGGGATCGAATCCTGGTGCCCGCATCTGTGCCTACAGAACGTGAAAACCGTTTCAGATTGTTCGTTGCCGCTAGGAATCGACACTACAACCACTGCCATTTCATTATGTTGGGTCACTTAGCTGTGATGAGTCCAGCCACCTCATCTTTTCAAATTTTTGTATGTTTTCTATTCTATCTTGTGATGCGCCTGTCCTTTGTGACATCTGTGAAAATTGGAATGATTATTATTCAACGACAAATACAGAAAACAATAAAATATTAATTAGCATGGACCCTGCACAAGGATGACATGCACAAATCGTGAAATGGTCCAAATTGGGGGGGAGAGGGGGAGGGGGAACACCCTGTGATGCTTCTGGGTGGGAATCACCACATAGGGAGAGGGTATGGTCTCTTTGTTTTGTGCAGGAGAGAAAGAGGGCCGGAATGCTGAATTTCTGGTGTTCTGCCCCTTGTGAGGCGGTGTGGATTTGAACCCGTGACCTGGCCTCACTGCTTTTGTAGATGGTCCTCTTTCCCTCCTGCACAACAAACAAAAGGAAGACCAAACCAAAAAAAAAGAAAAACAAAAAGAAAAAGAAAAAGAAAAAAAAGCAAGACCACACCCTCTCGTGACGCCCGACCCCACTTTCTTTTTGTTAATTGTTGCAGCCAAGTGTCTTTTCCAGTTCCCCTCATAACTGCATTTTCTGTACATATTTTGTTTGACAATATATGTATAATATCGTATATTATATGTATATATTGTGTATATCGTCAAACAGAGCTGCTCGGTAAACCGTAGGCAGAGACGGAGAAGAGGACAACAAACGAGGGGCTGTGATATGAGTTGGTGAAACTCTGACGAAACAGTCTGTCACAGCCCGTCGTTTGTTGTCCCCTTCTCCCTCTCTGCCTACGGTTTACCAGGCAGCTCTGTTTGATGATATATATATATATCTCCCTCTCTGCCTACGGTTTACCGGGCAGTTCTATTTGACGATTTGTGACGATATATATATCGTCAAACAGATATATATATTGACGATATATATGACTATATATCGTCAAATATTGACGATATATATGACTATATATATATATATATGTATGATATATCTGCCTACGGTTTACCGGGCAGCTCTGTTTGGCAATATATATGAGTCGGTGAAACTCCAACGAAACAGTTTGTCACAGCCCCTCATTTGTTGTCCTCTTCTCCCTGTCTGCCTACGGTTTACCGGGCAGCTCTGTTTGACAATGTATATGAGTCGGCGAAACTCCGACGAAACAGTTTGTCACAGCCCGTCGTTTGTTGTCCTCTTCTCCTTCTCTGCCTATGGTTTACTGGGCAGCTCTGTTTGATGATATATATAGATATATTTACTGGGCAGCTATATGTAGTCAAACAGAGCTGCCCCATAAACCGTAGGCAGAGAGGGAGAAGAGGACAACAAACGAGGGGCTATATATATATTTGACGAGTCAGTGAAACTCCGACGAAGCAGTTTGTCACAGCCCTTCCTTTGGGATACATATATTTACCGGGCAGTTCTGTTTGTGACGATATATATATATATATATATATATATATATATATATCGTCACAATATATATATCTCTGCCTACGGTTTACCGGGCAGTTCTGTTTGTTACGATATATATATCGTCACAAACAGAACTGCCCGGTAAACCGTAGGCAGAGAGAGAGAAGAGGACAACAAACGAGGGGCTGTGACAAACTGTTTCGTCGGAGTTTCATATATATATTTGTGACGATATATATATATACCTCTAGTGCCAGCGGTTGCTCTCAGTACTCTCTGTGATTGATTATCCTCCTGTTCCTACCCCCACTGTATGTGTGTGTAATCGAACAAGCATTAGTAATATCATGTGGCATGCATGTGTGCAGGGCTCTTTTTGTCTGTGCATGCGTTGCGAACGTGGGTGCTTGTACGGCTAGGTTCATGCTGGTGGTTGCATGGGCTGGTGGTTATGACATCTGTTTGTGAGCATGTTTGGTGTCAAGGCTTACGAACCTGGCCTGCCTGTACGACTAGGTTCCATGCGAAAAAGCGACAAACATAGCACCAACAGCCAGACTTTGAGCTGGGAGTGAATGGTTATCGGTTTGCAGTAAGCTTTTGCACCAGCCTGATTGCTGCTATGTTTGTGGCTTGAAAGCATGAACCTGGTTGTACAATCAGGGCAGGTTCCTAACCCTTAACAACAAGCATGGATTGACACGAAAAGCATTTCGCTGCATTTTGGGCCAGTCTTGTGTCGGTGCTCGATGTGTCGTCGATCAAACCAGATGCCGAGTCGCTGGCGGCTTCGAAGGAATGGAACACGGAGGAGGACCTCGCTGAACTGGGTTTCGTCAACTTCGCGTCTCTTCGGGAGCCATCCCGTTCATCCCAATCGACGCCATTTCTATCCTCAAGCCGCAGGGGGTCTTCGTTGAGGGACGTGATCTCCCGAACAGTTGCCGCAATGAGTGTTACTTCTGGGTTATCATCAGCGCATGGAGGGGGACCATCCAATTTGTGCGGCGGCGGAAGTGTTTCACAAAAAGATCCGAAGAAGCGAGAGGCAACCCCCACGCGCGAGGGAGGAGGAGCAAGTGACAAGCCTGGGAAGGAAACTGCTGCAGGAGGGAGAGGACAAGGAAGAGGAGAGGGGAGGGGAAGAGGGAGAGGAGAGGGGAGGGGAAGAGGGGGAGGAGAGGGGAGGGGAGGGGAAAAGAGCAGCTCAGGGGCAAAAGCCAAGAACCAGGGGGGAGGTAGCAGCAGCCGTGTTGGGAAGGACCGTATCACAAGCAACTCTGCAATGGCTCTTCCGGGTTGTGGCAGCGAGCAGGGTTCGAAACGTTCCGTCAAGGATGTCGAAAGAAGAGAGAACAGTGAGAGCGTATTGAATCAGACGCAGCAAGCAGTGGGCGGCGGTGGATGGAAAAGAAAAGGAGATGAAGAACTGGAAAGAGAGCTTGAAATCGCCATGGCAGCAACAGCAGCGGCGGCAAGCAATCGAGCAGCAAGGAGGGACGGGGATGATGGCGGTGGCGATGTGTCCCCAGATTCTCACGAAACGGGGGGGGGCGGTAGGTTGTTGACCTTGGACTCTGTGGCCAATAGGAAAGGAGGGGTGAGATGGCGGCTGGCCCATATGCTAGAGGGAAAGGCCCATGTTGTGAAAGCTATGGAAGCCAAGAATGCTGCCGACGGTGCGGGCACGTGGTCCCGAAAGTCGGGTCCGATTTGCAACTGGGCGGAAGTTTATTGTCCTGGAGAGAAAGACGGGGGAAGATGGGTGCATTTCGATGCCGCGAGGGGAGCCGTAGACGGTGCAGACAAGGTGGCGGGCACATTCGCAGGATGGCCCCGCCCAATGCGATACGTCGTAGGGTTCATTGGAGGGGGAGCAAAGGACATAACAAGGAGGTGAGGGTGCACACAATCTACCTGGTTTTATGTCCTCACGTTGTCCCCAACGTAATGGGGATTACACCGTCGTGTAGTTCTCGAGTTATTGACAGTATTGGATTCCAATGAGGTTTGAACTCTTGACTTTCTCTACGCACGCATGTGGAGAGTGTACCGTGCCATCGTCCGTGATCGTGCTATGTGTGAGATTCTACTATCCAGTGCCGAGTTTGAACAAGTTTTACTGTTTTTACTTTGTAAAATGTGTGATCGTTCTATGTGGCATTTTCACTATTCAGTGTGCTGAGTTCGAACAAGTTTTACTTTGTAAAATGTAGAATTCTGATGGGGTTTGAGCTCTTGACTTTCTCTACACATGTGGTCGTTCTATTTGTCATCGACTATTCTATTTGTCATTTGACTATTCTATTTGGCATTTGACTATTCATTGCGCTAAGTTCAAACTTAAAAAAGATGCAGAATGGGAAAACTAGGGCGCAGTTGGGTCTTCAGTTTTAACTTTTAAATGCGTTTCAGTCAAGATTTTCGTGAATGTTGCTCCAAAGCGAGGAAAATCGTGAATGTATACAACCCAGCTTTAGGGTTGGGTGGGGATGTGTTGTATTTGAGGGATGCCTGAAGTGCATTTAAAAGTTAAAACTGAAAACCTGACTGCGCCCTAGTTACCCCATGTAGAATTCCAATCTATTGTGTCATTTTTTTACTATTCATTGCGCTAAGCTCAAAACGAGTTTTACTTTGTAATGAAGAATTCCAACAGGGTTTGAAGTTTGCACTCTTGACTTTCTCTGTGCGTGTGGGGATTGTGTACCATGCAATAATCAGCGATTGTTTAATTGATACTATGAAAGCTTTTTTTAGACTTTTACTAACTGATTTATGTATTGGATTTCATTCTCCTCATGGATGGGAGGTATTAATTGAGAATTACTTTGGGAGCATTTCGGATTTGTGCCTAATGAGTCCCATACTTGCAAGCGGACGCCGTCCGGGCGGTTCCGCACTTGTGGCAGACCGCCGGACCGGACCCGCGCGGCGCACGAATGTGCGCCCGACGACCAGTTACGCCCCCCCCCCCCCCCCCCCCCCCAAAAAAAAAAAGGCCCTGTCCGGTCCGGTCCGGGTCCGTCTGGTTCGGGGGGAGGGTGCCGCACGCGGCAAAGCGGACCGAACCGGACGCTCATCCGGTCCGTCTGCTTGCAAGTATGCCAATGACCAAATGTAAACCAACCCCTTGGACTACGTCTGCTTTTAAATTAGTGGCCCTAGTGGGATCGAATTCAAATATTTCTCCTACTTTTTTTGTATCTACTTTTCCTGCAATAACCCATGCCATCTGTCTCATGGAAATCTGAGGACCTACTTGGCCGCCCTCAGCCCAGGCCAAAACCAGGGGAAAAAAGACCCCACACAAATTCAGGGCCTGGGCGTGTGACAGTTGACTTTGGTCAACTGTCGTGACACCAACAGTCAAAGTCCAAAGGTACCCAGCCCAGGGCGCCGGTCAAGCACACACACTTGTTTGTACGCAGGTACCCAGACAGCATCAGGTCCAAGGGGAAGTCTGCAACTGTACACAATCAGGCCCCTCGGCTGTGAGGCAATCTGGACGACCGAGGGAACAGGACCCGAGGCCATACAGCCTCGTCAAATACTACTTAACGGCTGGCCTCGAGTTGGTCAACATTCAGTCTTGCTATGCTGCTTGGACGCTGGCTTGACTTCGACCAGACGCTGACATTGACGCTGGCACAACGCTCGCAAGACGCTGGCTGGACGCAGGCTGTGCGCAGGCACTGTGGACGACGACTCGGACAGTGACGGCATGCTGGCGCATTCTGCATTGTGCACCAGGCATGCTGATGTGGCGCTACCTCTGGTCTACATTGCATGCAGATGTGGCGCTGCCTCTGGTCTACATTGCATGCTGATGTGGCGCTGCCTATGGTCTACATTGCATGCTGATGTGGCGCTGCCTCTGGTCTACATTGCATGCTGATGTGGTGCTGCCTCTGGTCTACATTGCTTGCTGATGTGGCGTACGCCACTGGTCTTCATTGATGATGTGGCGCATGCCACCTGTCTCGACTGCTGACGTGGCATTGTCCACGCTGTGTACATGAGGTGACTGGTTGCAAGGAGGAGGGAGATCGGGATCTGTGGATGATTGGGAAACGGGATACTTACCTGAGACCGACGTTGATATTGTTCGCTGCTGGCTGTCTTCGTTGTCTCCTTGAGAGAGCGGTGCCATGTGGCACTTCTGTGTTGCCAGGACTTATCAGACTTATTACTGTTATTTGCTTGATGACGTGGAGGGAGAGGAAGCCCGGAGAAGAAGTGGGGTTGGTTGGGTTACTATTGTGTGATCTTGGACTTCTTCCACCTTCTCCCTTGCCTATCCTCCCTCCACTCTCCTCGTCTGATTGGTAACTAGACGCTATTGCAGATATCATTTTCACGTTAACTGGAGACTTTGTGCAGATCTGAGACTATTGGAACTTCGACGTCTGCTGAGCATCTTCCTGACTGGGTTCATTACATTCCAGTTTTATTGGATACAATGGTGAAGTATTGGATTTTTCGACATTTGAGTCGTTTATCACCATTTATAGTAGTTACCTGTCATTCAATGAATGAGTAAACTAAATTTTCTAGTTTTTTTTCACTTAAAAAATACACATGAAACCAGATAAGAGCACATGAAACCAGATAGTCGTGACCTCGAACCAAAAGCAGAATTGCAACTCGAGTTCCACCAAATAAGAGCACAACAAAAGCTCACAACTGACAATGTTGGAATAGTCTCATCATCATCAACAATGAACCAATGTCGATTCCCTATCTGGCGCTCAGCGCCCAGACTATGAATGGCAGATCCTATCTAGCCTATCTACAATGCCGTTGGTGACGTCAACAGCTCCCCGAAGTACGAGCAGATCTGGGCCAACGCCGTTCGCCTCCAGCACCAGGTATGTCTCACACATCACTCACAGCCTCGATCCCCCACACAGATGCCACGTGCACTCAAGGACCACCATGCGCCCCATCCAGCATCTCGCAGGCCAGCTCGGCTATGGCTGCCTGCGTGTGCCCTGCTCGCCTGTGAGCGCATGGGCACTTGCCTGCCAGTAGCGCAGCAAGTAGCAAGTGCCCGAATGCCGCATGCAGAGGCAGGCACTTTCTTTTATCAAAGTGGCCTGCCTGCTGTGAGCTGCCTGGGTGCGCTAGGCCCCTGCCCAGAAGCTTCCGGTAGGCCCCAAGTGGCTGAGACCCTGACCCAGGGAATCACACGCAGGGCCTGGGGTGGTTACCCGTGTCCAACTGCCAGCGGCCTGTGTTCAGTTCACGCCCCGTGTCTGGCCCAGGGCCTGCCTCAGATTCATTTGGAAAAAGGCAGGCAGGGCCTGGGCTCCTCAACCAACTGGCGCTGCACAACTGCCTGAATTTCCCAGCTGCGTCCAACCCAGCCAAAAGTAGGCCTCTCGTGCCTTGTCAGGGCCGCCTTCACTTAGGGCGGCCGATATATCTTGCCACATCAAACTGTCCGCAACCTCCTTTATGTCGAAGATCATTCCTCTGGCACCGTAGTGCAGCAGTACAATGTACAGACACTGTGTGACCTTCTCCTTTGCACAGCCACAGACACT